TGACAAAATATTTTTAAATTTTAATTAAAATAATTTTTATCAAAAATAATTTTTATATGTAATAATTTTTTTTGTAAATATAAGTAGTTTTTTGTTATATTTGTTTAATTTTGTAGACCTAAATACTTTTTAGTTCAAAAAATATTTAGGGACTTAATCGTTCAAAATGTGAATGTTCATTGAGTTTTTTTTTCGGATTTTTTTCTATTATTTTACCACATTAACCAGTTGTATAAGTCATAAAAAATGTATCTAGCAAGTTTTAGAAAGTCCAAGGTGTTATTTAACATGTTTTTGAATGTTCAAGGATTTATTTGCTTAAAAAAAAGTTCAAATGACTTAATCATTCCAAACACTAAAGTCCATTGAGTTTTTTTTAGAGTTTTTCCTATTATTTTTATAAACATTTAAAAAAATCACTTTAACTTTTCAAACTAGTTATTTTTAGGAACTGGTTTAAATTTTAAAATAATCATCTCTCTTTTCCTTTCTTTATTTTGAATAATTTTGTTAGAACAAAAAATCGACCAAAAATCCTTTATTTTCATGTTAGAAAATATGTTGACGGAACTCTAAACTAATATAGGGGCATTTGGTTTGTCGGATTCCGACAGAATGAGATGAAATTAGGATGGTCAAATCCCATTAAATACCCGGTTAATGTGGTTACCATGTTGATGTGGCGAGTGATGTGGTATCAAACTCAGTATTATTTGTTGAAGTATTAACCGGATACTACATTACTCGCCACATCAACATGTTAACCGGTTAATGCTTCAACCAGTTATCCATGTACTTAAATGTTTAAAACTGTACATCTTAGAATACCAAAATGAAAGTTTTGAAAGTACGTTATCCAAAATAGGAATCAAGTTAAATTACGACACTTTTTCATGCAATTTGCTCTTTAATATACTTATAAGATGTTTGAGAATTTAATCTGAATTAACTGCCTAAAATGTCTTCTAACATGACAAAATCAAAATAACTTATAAATGATGTCATAAACAGTTGTAAATTTTTAGCCATTAACAAATATGTAAACTTAGATGTAATCTTGCTAAAAGAGGCTTCTTCTTTGTAACATTACAAAATAAAAAATTAAATCTTTTACTAAAATGAGGTATAATTAAGACAGATCTCTTACTTAAGAGCATCTCTAACAACTACGTTAAAATAGAGATTTTGAAGGTTAGGATAAATTTTTACTCTAACAATTATGTTATATTGTATTTTAAATTAAAAAAAAGGAATACAGAGAGTAGAAACCTCTAAAACTTCATATTTATATTTGTTATATATTTATATATAACAATTATGTTATATATTTGTATATGGTAAATAGAACAAATAAACTCACACACTCTCCTCACCTTTTGTGAGGTTTGAACCCTTGACTTCCTAGAAGACCAAGGACTCACATACCGCTAGATTAAAGGCCCTTTAGTTCATTTTTTTTTTTTCTATTATCGTTAATGGCACCGTTAACCATAACTTTGATTTACTATATTTGTTATAATATAAGAAAATTTGTCCCTCGTAAGAGACTCGTGAAAATTA